TTTAGCATGTTGTTAAACACTTTGAATGCTTAAACAATAAATTTTCAATATCTGCTTTTGTGTTCGCTTTTCTTGTAGTTTTCTGTTTCTGTGTCAATGTTTTTGCCACCGGTCAGCGGTCAATATGTGACTGGCTGCTGGTTTTTTTTTTTCACTCTGGATGGCGAGTGAAAATGAATTGCTCGTAAAAATGCTTGTAAAACAACGGCAACTACAAGAGCAACAGCAGCAGCAGCAGCAACGGCCACTCAGAAAGCAGCCAGCAGCCAGCAGCTTGGCAACAAACTGCGTGCAAAATATCATTAATCATGTTAATTTATATAGGCTGGTCAGCTTCATAAATATTACGAAGCAACCTGGTAGGCTTACCAATTTTAACGAACTTTACGCATAATTTAACATTCTTGTCGATGTCGCTGCTCATTTTATTTTTGTTTTTGGAATTTGAATTGAAAAAAAAAAAATAAATAAATAAAAGTCAATTATTCGGCCATAAAATCAGACCAGCAGCTACCAAAATTGCGGGTGTTGGCATGATTCGGCCATTACCCATAGGCTCAATGGCCTAGACCTTTTATATAATCGCCGAGCGGTGGGCACTTGAGCAACTACAGTTCATTGCCATTTGTACTAAAAATAGCAGCACCTGGCAGCCGGAAAACTTTAGCAAAGCAACAGAGACGCCAACGCCAACTATATAAATCCATGTGACATATTGCGTTGTTCGCTTCAGTTTCAGCCAAATAGACGTATATACGCTACATAATCTTATCTAAAACAAAACACTTTCTCAGCATTTTCATGCTGGTACGTACGCCACATAAATCACTGCTAAACACATAGAGAGAGAGAGAGAGAGAGAGAGAAGGAGAGAGAGAGGGAGGGAGAGAGACGGAGAGAGGGAGGAGAGAAGGAGTGACAACGATCTGATGAGCCAACTCGCTGACAATGGCACATCAAGTGCTGCAGCATCAGCACCGAGCCGCCGAGCCACCGATCCACCGAGCCACCCACGCAACCAGACAGTGGCAGTCAGCTCATTAGACTATCGAAAATGTTGTGGAATGAAAGAGAAACTATCCAAATACTTAACACATCTATCGAGATACACAGTATCTCTTGTGACGTAGCTGCCTCAAGTCTGTTGCAAAGAGACAAATTATATAACAACAAAAATGTCTGGCACAAGTTTCAGTTTTATTTATGTGAACTTTAACAAATTGTGATATTAAGTGCCGTTTAAGATATATATAGATACAAATGTATCTCAAAGATACTTAACTATCGTTTAACTAATCTGTTCGCACAGAGTCCCAAACATATTTAGTGCGCAATAAAAATATTTTAATAGCTTACTGATTTCATCTTGACCCATATCTCTCCATTTAGCTGGCAGATACAAATGTATCTAGATATATATCAGACGGAAACAAATGTGTCTAAAAATGTGTTTATTATGACGCATGACGCAAAGTAATATAAAATCTCAAAGTTTATAAGGTGTATAGACTGTAGATACAAATGTATCTAGATACGCATAGCTGAAGATGTGGAAATTCTAAATGTTCAACAGTTTTGCGTATGATATAATACCTCACTGAAGAATCCAAGAGAAATAGCTCATTCCGGGTCGTTGCCTAATTTATAAAGATGTATCTAGATACATCTAGATTTGTATCTCAACAGATTTGTATGCTCGACAGCTCGTGAGTCTTTTGTAAAAATTAATTTATTGTATTATGTGCTGAAAATGATATAATAGCTTTGGCTCTTTGGTCACGCTACGCTACCCTCTTCGGCCTGGTGTCTGTGTGTGTTGAAATTCTCCCTGAATAGCCCTTAAGCGAATGATTACAGTATTAATCATGCCAATGCCTTGGGCCGGGGGACTTACGCAGTTTATGCAATTTGTTTGAAGTAAAATGTTTAGGTATCTGGAAGTCCAGCTGCTTTTGGAAAGCTCTCAGCTAGCCAGCAATAACTTATATGCTTTATGTGTTCTATTGATGGGTCATAAAAATAAATAAAATAAACTTATAATCGTTTCGGGAACAATGCAATCATTTGTTGCGCCCATTTCTGGACATTTATGGAGCTCTGATCTGACAGTCTTTGATCTGGTACGAGAAAATAAAATGCATACGTATATGCTGCATAAAGAGGCCTATAGTATTTACTAAAAGCAATTAACACGCCGGCCACAAGGCGAGTGACAGTGAAAGTAACTCGCTGCTCGAATCCGCTGAACAACTTATTTCATCAGCGCGCTGAAGACGTGCCGTAAATTAAGTTATCAAAAAATCTGTCGGAAGCTTTTAGCATCTACCCGAAAAGAAAACAGAGTCGGCCTCAACGTCAACCACTTCAGTTAACTTCACACCTTGCACCACGCACCACACACTAAATCAGTCGCATAATTGCCCACAGACCCAGACTTGGCGGCTAAAACCATCAGGTAACCAGCTACACTCATATATCATTATGGAAATATGCACGCCCCCAGCAACAGCAACAGCAACAGCAACAGCAGCAGCAGCAGCAATGGTAGCCGAAGCAACTGGAAGGGTTTGAGGTCAACCACAAGGATCCGGTCTGGGGTCCGTTAGCTGCTGAAGCAAATTTCAACTCGAGTTCCATTTGTATACCCTAAGCATGCAAAGTAGCTAAGAGGAGATGATCATTTCATGTTAACATAAAGAGAAAGAGCTTATGCCAATATATAGCCTCATATCTGTAGTCTCACGACTACATAGATTTTTAATCTCTCTTTTAGTTATGAGCGCCTTCTAATCTTTGAATAGTAATAAAATTTTAGCTTGGTTCTTTGGGCACGCCTAGACAATTATTAGAGCTAGAAACATAAAATGTAATTTATAGGCCTTTTACAACATATTCAGCGAACAAAGAGAAAATACTCACAACGTGGGGTATCTCCTAGTCGAGCACTTCCGACTGAAGCATTTCAGCATGCTGCATTGTCTGACTTTTGGAGGTCAACAGCTTGTTGAACTGTCGGAAAATGCGTGGAAATGCCCAGCAATTTTCTTGTCGCTAAGACAGCTTTAATTTTCGCAAGTTTAGGGAAACTTTCTAAACGCTTCTTTTTTTTTTTTTTTTTTTTTTTTTTGGCTAGTCATCTATGTCATTTCCTTATCAATGCTGCAGAACAGTTATGACTGCTGATAAACTAGCTCTGGACAGAAGCTAAAAGCTTGGCAAGTGCGTGATTTCTGTTTGGAAACTCATAAAAAACTCAACAGCCATGAGCAATAAAGTAAGCACTGCTCTGTGAAAGTGGTGGAGTGCCTAACATTGTGCAATTGCTATACAAATCTTTTTCAGACACCTTTTAACCAAAGAAAAACAACCGAAATCGAAACAGTTTTCGGGCCAGATCTTAACAGCTGCGCATTATCGCATGAGGCAGACGCACGAAATCAAATCAAATTAACACCCGTGCTGCAGGCAGCGGCAACAACAGCGTAAATTTCATTAATCTACAACAACAAAGCCAACAACAACGTGTAGCACTCATATGCACTATCTATGCAGCATCGCATCGTTGATGTCTCAATGACGCGATGCCTGCGCGCGATTAAAAACGCGCGCAAAACCGGCCGCGCGCTCAACAAGTTTTTCGGCTGCTTTTGTTATCAGCCTTGCAAATTGCCGCAGCAAATAGCAACAGAAAGAAATGTTGAGGAGGAAGAAGAAGATGAAAACTGTATAAAATGAAGCTGTAAATTAATTTGGACAACAAGTTGCGATTGGCTTAACCAGCTGCCTGCCAAGTTATGCAAATGCCCAGCTGATGAGTTGGCTGACTCATGAGCAGCAGCAGCAGCAGCAGCAGCGGTAGCTAATCAGGTCGTTCAGTACATTAAAGCAAGATTTATGCCAAGCAATTCAGCCTTAACTCACTCACACGCACACACTCGCACGCACATCAATTTATATGGCAAATAATACAATAGATGCCCCTCCTGGGCGCCCTGAACAGCAGCGGCCGGCAGCATATTGCCAAATCAAGTGTCTGACTTAATGATGCTCAACATAAACAGGCTACGCTACGAATATATTTCTAACATTTTTCTCACTTTTTTTTCTCTTGTACATATTTTCTTGGCCAAACGCAATGCCCAACCAGCTCCGCCCCCATCCCGTAGCGCCCTAGACTTGCCGCTAGAAAAACTTTTGAAACAAACACACATCTTTCTTTTATGAGAACTTTCAACTTGTGGACGCGGCCTGAGTGGGCGTGCCAAGTGATCTAAATATATATATATATATATATTTACATGCGTATGTATAAGGAAACATACATATTGCTCTGCTGATATTTCATATACGCATTAGTTTATTTGCTTGTTTATGTCGATGAAAAAATGCTAAACAAGATTTTTGGGGCAAGTTTTTGTGGAAAGAAAACTTAAACAATGGGGCGTCGACTTTGAAGTTTACTTTGGACACTTTATTGTTACAAACATAAGGTCAAAGTTACAATCTCTGATATTAAAAAAATGCAGCTCGAAATGATTTTAGTTGCTTTCCATATTTCACAATACCTAAACAGTTTGACGAAGAAAACGAACAAATTATATAAACATATATATTTATACGTAGATGTTTTTGAATCGAATCTTATGTGGTATTATGGGATTTTTTATGGCACCTAAATAATATAAGAATAAATTAAATTTAATCTATTTTGAACATTTAAGTAATATAAAAACTGTATACATTTTTAGCGCAGTCTTTGATTTTTTGTTCATTAAAAAAAGGAATAAAAAATATGTATATAAATGTTTTTAATACATATACATATATATATAAATATATACATATATCGATCAATTTCTAACCAGAGCTGATTGAACAAGCTTGATCTAGCTTTTATGGATCGCTCGCCACGCTCGACTGGCAGCATCACTCTAAGTCATGTCGATTCTTGTTCCGTTTCTACCTTATAAATAGCGCATATTATAGAAAAATGTACTCACTGTATTCACTCTGCTCGTCCTGCGTGCCATTGACGGTGCCATCTGGCAGTATTTGCAGTATACGATTCTTCATATATAACTGTATTTTGCGAGATGGTCCCGCCAAATGGGAAATTGTGGAGCGTTCGTTACGATCCAAATTGCTGGGATTATTGTTGAATATGTTGCTGTTGCTGTGGCTGTTGTTGTTATTGCTACTATTTATGTGTAGATTATTTCTAGAGTTATTCAGTCTTTTCGATTTCGAACCAATGAAATTGCTGTTGTTGTTGCTGTTGCTGTTGGTGGCAGCAGTCGGCTGTTGCTGCTGCTGTTGCTGCTGTCTCTGGTGCAGTTGCTGGTGATGCAGATGCTGATGCTGATGTCGTATGCTGCGCTCGGTGCGTGAGAGTATGGCCAAATGTTCATGCGGCGCAGATGAGAAAATGAATCCCAATCGATCTGCATCAGCAACTGTTGCTTCTGTTGTGATGCTCCTGCTGCTGCTGCTGTTGGGTGTTGCTGTGGTGGTTGGGCTTATGGCAGTTGATTGATTTGTGTTGTTTAATGTTCGCATATTAAATTCAGCGCTAATACTTTGATTTTGATCTAAACTATATTCACGCCTCAGCAGGAATAGAGGACTATTATGACTATGATCACTTTGCATGGAACTATTACTATTATATTGATTATTGTTATTGCTACTGCTATTGTTATTGTTGTTGTTATTATTGTTTGCATTACTACTGTTTGTTTGCGTACTATTTGTGTCTTGGCTCGACATTGTCGTTACGGCAAACGACAGACCCGCCCGGGTCTCAATCGATAAAAGGAGGGCGCCCAGCAGCGCCAGGGCCCTCCAATTCAAGCGCAGGTTTCTTCGCATGAAAGATTACAATTACAGTTGCACAAGAGTTGTTGCTGCTGTTGCTGCTGCTGTTGCAATTGCAGTTGCAGTTGCTGTTGCAGTTGCTGTTGCTTTTCACCTTTCTTTTTATTTTCTTGTTCAAAGTACTTGGCTGGTTTGCTGTTTATACAAATTTGTTGCTGCCTCAAGTTTGTCAGTTGTTGCTGGGCGTGCGACACGCCCTTAAATATCGTTGAAACATATGAACGCCCCGTTTGAGTAACCAAAAAAAAAAAAAGGAAAAGGAAAGGAAGTTATATCTCTACATTCGTTTCGTTGTGTGTTTTTGTTTAAATTATGATATTTGTTTTTCTCAGTGTATTCGTTTTCTTTTAGAGTTCTGCGTTCCAGTTGATACAAAGTTTTCGCCGCTTGGTGGCAACCAATTTAGGTTATCATATCGTAGACTTGTTGAACACTTTTCAATTTCAGCGATTGATGCCCTTCCTTGTGCTGCTGCTGATGTTGTTGCTGTTGCTGTAGCTGTTGCTGATCTTCATCGTCGTCTTCCTCGCTGATAATGCATTTTATCAACTCCAATGACTTCCTAGTCATGTCAGCACAGTTAACAGCGGCCTTTCAAGTCTGAAAATCAACCAACGCAGCTCGATTCGTTGCTTTTGCTGTTGCTAGGGCCTTAGGTGTGCGGCTGCAACGCCAACATGTTGCACTTTCAAAACTATAAAGAGAGAAGGCCACAGCAAAGGTTATTATTGAAAGCAAACATATTTGAGCTACATATAAATTACAAATTAGATTTTCCAGACATACTTTTACAAAGGTTAATCAAATGCCTTCAATGAAGGTATTATAAGGTAATAAATAATAAAAGTTCCATGTAACTCGTACAGAACTGTTTTTATATATCAATATATAGTTATCTATCAATTACATCTAATTTTATGTAATCTTTATACTTCCTTCCATATGCCATTTCTTACATATATATTTGTTTTTCTCTTGCTCATCTTTCAGTCAGATATCTTCTATCTATTTATTTAGACAAAATCCATTTATCTTCCCCTTAATCCGCATTTACACTCGCCTTTTGCTCTTGTATCTTTAAGCTATATATACAGTCCATATCCTACATGTCTTTGTATTCTTGCACTAGAACCTTGAAGTAGATTTCAGCTTTCTTAACAACAGATATTTCCAGTAGTCGTACCACCTGGTAAAGACTCTATTTCTAGACATATGACATTTGGAAAATCAAAGATATGTAACACACAGAAGTTATTGCATATTCGAATTGGCTTTGAAAATTCCAACGGCAACATTTCGGATTAGTCGAATTGTACATAAATTCATCGTTCTAAGCGCTTTTATGCGCAATTTTGACATTTAATTAGTGCCGTGGCTATATTAAGCCAACGCCTCACGGCGGCCGCAAAGTGGAACAGTTTATTTTTAGGCACCGCGACTATCAGTGCGAACAACCGGTAGATACTAAAAAGAAAAAAAAAGGAAAAATAGAAAAAAAGATACAATTGTATCTATGGGCGCGTCAAGTGGCCAACGAGTTGCATAAATACCGCCCAAAAGGGAGACGATCGCAACGGACAGTTATGCAAAAAACTCGGTGAAAACATCGAAAATGACTTTTCCCCCGCCCGCCGAGCAGCCAAATGCACAAATTGGCCAACTAAGCAAGCGAAGAAAAGTGGGCAAGAAAAAGATTGGAAAACAACTCGCAAAATGAAGGGAAAAGCGCAAGGGGCAACACGACTGGCAAACTGTTGTTTAAAAATAAATGTGGCAACAAAAACAATTCGCGCATAAAACTGTGTCGAATTTGAAAATAATCACGCACTAACTGCAGCAACAACAACAACTGTGGCAACAGCAGCAACAACAGCAGCAGCAACAACAACAACAAAACAACAACAGCGACAAAATGTATCTATGAGATACAATTTGAGGAAGTGCTGCAGGGCTGACAACGGGGCGGCTGAGTGACGTTGTCGTTGCACTTAGATGATGTTGTTGTTCGTGTTGCTGGTGTTGCTGCTGCTGCTACGTTTTTGGCACGTGTTCAGATGCCTACGCAGCAGCAGCAGCAGCGAAACAGTAGCAGCAGCATTTTTTATGCAACATTTAAGTGCACTCCGGTTTAATTACTATAAACAACAACAATTCAATTGCCGCCAACTCGCCTAAACGAAAATAAATAACCGACTCATAAGTTGCTCGTTGCCAATGTCCGTCTGTCCGTTTGAGTTGTGGGCCAAATTTCATGTAAATTGCTTTTCTGTTGCATTGACGTCGCAGCGTTCTATTGCAGATAATCACAGCACACACATGCACACACATACGCACACATACGCACGCACACACACGCACACACACCCCGGTCACCCCACTTATGCAATAAGCAATGGCATCGCCATTTGTCGCCATTGCCACGTTCGCGTTTTAAAACGCGCATAAAACGCTAACAGTTACGACCTCTCAAAGTGTGTCCCAAAAACAAGACAAAAAATACGGTATTCGCATGCCTAAGATTTTAACACACTCACACACTCCAGCGCATGTACCGCACGTCAAAGCCAGGGCCAAAAAGCTGGTTCTTATGTCAATTGGGATTTATAAAATACATTAACAATTTATTGCCAATATATATTTTTATATGTCTCTCTAACAACTTTATCGTGTTTGCTGTTATAAATATATTGTTTTAACGCGCCTTTGCTAACAGTCAAACAGCTGCTTGACTAACAGGCATAATTTGGCTTTTGTACAATTAAAGATAACAAAATGATAGAATTTTGTGTTCTTATATACGCACTTTTGCTAACAGCATCAAGTCATGCTAAGCTAACAGAAACTCAAACAGCTATTAGATAAGATAACAGCGTAGTTGAGACCTGTTAACAGCCAAATAGTTGATATAACATTTGTATATTATGTTAAGCTGCAGACTTGAACTTCTCGAATAGTTAACATTTCTCTATTATGTTAAAGTCTCAAGTAATATTGTAGCAGAATGTTAACACTTAAGTTGATATATTAAATTAATGCATTTTAATTCGCTTTTTTTAACAGACTTAGCTTAGCTAAATTAATTTAAATATCAGTATGTTTAAAGCGACATTTTATGTCATAATCAAAAGTTATTAAAATAAGCAAAGTGATATTTGGCTTTAATTAATTGACAATACTTGAAAGCCTTTCACTTAACATGCTAGATTTTGTTTTTGTACGCCCTTTAGAGTTGAGCTTCGATCCAAACAGTTTTTTATTGGTATGCTTCGAGCTTTTTATTAAAGAAAAAAAAAGAAAGAAAAAACCTTTTGAGCATTTAAAATATGCATAACCCTTTGCCAACCTCAGCTTGACTTTTATTTATGCCTTTCACCCGAAACAGCTGCCAAAATAAAGGCCCAAAATGTGTGCCAAGTTGCGTTCTTCCTCTTCCTCATGTATATGTTGCTGTTGCTCTTGCTGTTGTTGTTATTGTTACTTGGGCTGGTAGAATTTATGTTAAATATTCTGTAAGGGCATCAAAAGCCCCCAAGCCGCACAGTCGAAACCACAACAACTGCACCAACAACAACAAAGGCGCAGCATAAAAATTTGTAAAAAACAAAAAAAATTAAAGCGTGAAGAAAACTATTTAGGGACAAGCGACACATGTGCCAAGTTATAAAAAATAAAAACAAAACCAAAGCTGAACAAAAAATCATTTGGATTGTGTATAAAGTAACACCTCAGACGTTGCCCACCGCACACATACAAATCAAATGTATAATTTAATGATCCCCGCTCCGTGTTGGGCCACCGTGTCTGTCATTCATAAGTTCACAGCAGCCGGGGGCGCATAATCAACAAATTATGAAGAACATAAAATCGAAACCAACAACAACAACAAAAACACCAAACAACAAAAACAACAACAGCAACTAAATAATGCGCCATATAAGTATGTTATACAACGGCCGGGCCACATCATCTGATAGCCGATGTCAAGGAGCTGCCAGCTTGTGTGGCAATATAATAACAGTTATTGCTGGATCTGCAAATTACACATTTTTGCCTGCAGTTGGCAGTTGCCAGCACGCCCAAGAGACCCCAAGACAATATATAACTGGACTTGCCCGATTGGGAAAGCGAAAGTTTACTTTTGATAAACCAAATCTTATCGCATATATTTCCGCCTAGGCTTCCCCCCACAATTTGACACACCCCATCATGCCATTGATATAACCCAAATTCTAAGCGCAACTTTTGCGGCTGCTTTAATCAAATTTATGCTCTAATAAAACCTAATTTAAATTAGAGGCGACAAAACAACATAAAAAAATGTTGATTTGAATAATAAAAAAATCAGTTGCCACTTAAAAAAAAATCACAAACAAGCCCAATTTGAACTGACTAAAACTATGAGGCAGCGGCTTTTATTATGCAAAAAATAAAATAAATAAATAATAAAAATTTTTTGTATCCATAGTAAACAGAGCATAGTTAACTTTCCCATTGTGTGCAAAAATATTTTTTACTTGTTTGACACTTTTTAATGTCTTGCGGTTAGTGTTCGGTCACTGTGCGACAAATCGTTCAATAAATTAGACGAGTTCATCTTGCTGCTTGACGACAAGCTGAAGCAGTCGCCAGAGACAAACACAAGGCACGCAGTCATCGATTCGTCAGATCATAATGATCGACGAGTGTATATACCCTATACACTCGCTTCGCTTGCTTGAAGAGAAACTCCATGACTTATATAGAAAAATATAAAAATGTAATGTATGAATGTCTAAGAACTTATTAATCCACTCTTAACTCGTAGAGAATATACAAATTGTAATTCTTCTAGACTCCAAATACGTTTAGCCAGGCTTTGATATACTGAGACAAAACTTTAGATTGATGTAGACAGCATCTCTTGATTGTCACCCATTACAGGGTATAAAAAGGTTTTCTATTCGATTGCTAAGATCTGGGCACAGCTGACATTTAGCCATAATCCGCCTAGACCTAGTCATTGAACTGTCCGCCAAAAACGATTATCGCGCGTTTTTTTAGCAATACGAAAAAGCAAAAGCAAAAACAAAAACAAATTTATGCGTCTCAAATGAATTTGACATTTGCTTTTGTTTAGATTTATTTTCATTTATTTTATTTTTGTTTTTTTGTTTTTGTTTTGTTTAAAGGGCTTGAGCTGACAGATGGATAGACGGATGGATGCGAAGTTTGGGAAAGTATCGCCACGGATCGCTGGGGCAGACTAAACTGGTCGGCTGTAGTAAATCTGAGCAAACTGCGCAACTTAATTAGTCCATGTCAGACGCTTGGCTGCCCCGCCCTCGGCCCACCACCGCCCCTCCCTGCGCTTGGGTAACAACACTCGCCATAAACCGAGGGGGGCTCGCTCGAGTGCTCGAACATTTATCACCTAAGCAGCATTTGAAATTTAAATGCGTTTGTTTTCATTTTATTAAACTGATTTTGTTTTTCTTTCTGATTTTGTGTTTTTTTATGCAAATTTGTACACATCTACTTAGTGGCGGGACTACCTCAGAAATTGTGTTATTAATTTAATATATAAATAAAGTCGATTGATATAAATATGCATGGATACTTCTATTGAATAAATACATAAAGCCTGTTTATCTGAGCATTTGTTTAATACACACTATTTATTATTATTATTGCTGGATTTGTTGTTTCAAATGCCTTTTAGTTTGTTTTCAAAGCAGTCGCTGTCAATGATTAAATTTATTTTTGTTTTTATTTATTTTTAATGACATTAACAAAATAACAAGTTTTGCCTACCACATTCCAATTGCTGACAGATAAGTTAGCTAAATATATTTTATTGATCAATGCCTTAAATATTTTTCTTTTGTAAATGTATATAAAAACTACCCAAAGTGAATGTTTTGAGTAAGTATTTATTTATATGATTTTTTATAAGTCGAGATTTGATTAAATAAACCAAGTGGAAATATATTCAAGTTCACAAAACTCTTTCGTATTTCTTCATCCAATTTTCTTTTTATTTATGTCTAGTTTTAACTTTGTAAAATTATATTTCCGTCCCACATCTATTTGCTAACCGTTCATTGGCTCCGCTTACCGCAATTTCAATTTTGGTAATGCAACTTGGCCGAAACAGAGCCAAACCGCAAAACCCACTTACATTATGCTTTATGTGCAAATTATACTATTGTGGTTACATTTTTTGCTCAACACTTGGATAGCTTCGCTTTTGTTTCCCCCCTTCTCGTATTTAGACTACAATGCGGGGCAATAATAAAAACAAATTGCCCAAACAGAGCTGGCCGAGCAAACAAACAAAGCCATGTTAATGGCGTGTTGTAAGAATTTTTTCGACTCGATATTTATTTAAAAGCCATACCACTTGAGTCAATTCAATGCCAAAGTCGGCTGTGATCAGTGCAAGCATACCCTGTAGTAGCAAACAAAGATGGGGTTAATTCTTGAATAGTTTAAATATATTATTAATATTCTTTAAATATATTTAAATATATATTCTGTTTATTCATTTGAGAACATATTAACTGGATAGACAACAACTGTAGGGTATGTGAAAGTCGTTCAAGCTATTTCCTCGGAAGATTATCTTTAATGAAAGCGAAAACATTTTCGTTAAAACAAATATTAATAACTAAATAACAAGTGAAATTATCATAATTTATTCAATGCATTAGCCTAAACATGTGATTTCAGTCTCTTCGGCACAAAAGTCACAAGATTAAAAAATATATATTTATACAGATATATATATATATGTGGTTTACAGACCGTTATATTTATATAAGGTATAAAGTGCTTAGACTGGGTGATTGATGTACGGCAGCATTTGCTGACAGCCCATAGATAAATGTGTGTCCATTTGAATGCAAACAGCGAGATATTAAGATGCATATTGTCTCCGCCAAGTGTAATATACATATGTCTGCTTATGAAGCGCACATATATACATAGGTATTTTTATAGATATACGATTTTCGATTTTCGTGTATATATAAGCAGCTCTGTTTCTGTTCAGTCTCACGGCAATTGTCGATTTTCAATGCAATGCGTTGTCAAACCAGAAAAAAATAACTCACGTGTTTACAAAACAATTAATTTTCTTTGGAAAAAAAAAAAAACAAGAAAAGCAGCAAACTAGCGCTCGAGCCAAAGGAGGGAGCGGGAGGGTTAAATGCAATAGGAAGAAAATGAAAAAGATACCGAAACATAACTCAAACAAAAGGCAACTACACAAATGCACTAATCGCTGTGCACTTCATTTGTATAGAAACAAAAACAACGGCAACAGCAACAACAACAATAACAAGAAGGAGAAGAGCTGCAGATACTTGAGCGCTCACTATTTGATACTTGGCAAGCATTCACGCGCATTTAGAAAGCATCGGAACCCAACTGCAAACAGAGATGAGAACCCAGTAGTCTTTGAAATAGAAAAGATGAAGATGAACAAAAAAAAAAAAAAAAAAAAAAAAAAGAGGAAAAAGAGAAAAAAAAAAGTGCAGCGTGCTTTTGTGTAATCCATTTGAACCGGAAGCAATTGGGCCGACGATACCGCTGTCGGTGTCGCTGCCAGCGATGCAATCCTCTCGAGAAATTGAACAATTTTAAATATTTAGTGCACGAGACAAGCGAGGGCAAAGCCACATGCAACCGGATCACATGCGTTCGCCCGCTCACTCGCTCGCTGCTAACTACAAAGCAAACATCATTGACTGGGCTATTGACAAGTGTATCTGTAAGATGTTTTTTTTTTCGAGTACTACGAGTGAACAGCTCTAACATCTTTATGGAGAGCACGCACTACAAGCAAATTTCTTATGCTCAGCTTAAATATATATTGTAAGCAGAAAAGCTGTCAGTGACTGTGGCTACTGATTTGGCACAGTTATTTGAGAGCTATAGCTTTAGGATACCAAAGACGGTGGAGATGCTGAAAAATGGTGAGTGAAATACGTCTATTAATTTATCTAAAATATAGCTAAGATTTGACTATCTGAAAATCAGAGTTTCAATAAAATCAACATTGTTTTATTCAAAAGACTTTCAAATTTAAATAAAAATGATATTTAAAAAATGTATATATATTAATTGCAAATAATTAATCATCTTTGCGTATCTGGCAATACTCCAGCTAGTCGGCTTACGTATATTTAGCATGGAAATTCCTCAAGATTGCGACAATAAATTCCTACATATATATTCAAATATCCATATAATTTATTTTTGTTTTTTCCACAAATTTTTGTATTTTATATCTAGCCGTATCTATCTTCAGTAAATATTTAGATCTTTGAAATATGAAAATCAATTCCAATCAATTAATCTTCTCTAAATATCTGGCAATACTCCAGCTGGCTAACCTCTCGCTTTCCCCACCGAAATTCCTGAAGATTGCGACAATAAATTTGTGGATATATGAAATTATTATCCACGAGCAGTGAAGCTGTCATCAAATGTATCTACGTCTTCATAAAGCTTAAGCAGACAGTAATTAATAAAAAGAACAAACACTAGAGATGGCCAATGTACCGACTCCCACACATTTTCGCACATTTATTGTAGTCTAATTAAAAGTCACGCACTTTACGCGCGAAATTAAAAAAAAAAAAAAAAAAAAAAAAAAAAAAAATACAAAAAAGCTCAAAGACAACGCGTCGTATTAGTAATGTGAAAAGAGACAGCAACAGCGAGAGCAACAATTACGTCTAGGATATTTTTAAAATGCGTCAAATGAATAAAATAAAATAAGATAAAATAAAACGAAATGAAATAAAATACAAATGTGTAGAAAATGCGCGACAATTTTCCTATTTTCCTATTTCTCTTTTGTCATGTTCCTTAAAATTTTCTTTTTTAGGGGCTACGTCGTGTAGCACTGCCTATATCTGTGTGCTTGTGTGTGTGTGTGTGTGTGTTGCTGTTGCCAAATGTGTGCCGCACATTATGTGGTCTAGTGTTCACGCTTCGTTAATACTAGGCAAAAAAACGAAGTGCAATTTTTATTGTTGTAGTTGGTGTTACGTCCCTCCTGGTTGCCCCCACTGTGGCAGCCCCTCCTCATGCTGCTGCTGCCTGCTGCCCAAGGGGCGATAGTTTTTGCGCCACTTTCAGCTAAGTACTTTACAGTATTTACGCATGGCCATAAAACTTGTCGTGCGATAAGAATTATCTAACCTCCGCCTACACCCTCAACCCCCCTACCCGGCTACCCCCACGCATTTCGCTGATGGTATATGATGGTTATATTTCATGTTGTTATTGTTGTTCTTTTTTTTTTTTTTTTTTATAGTATTCCAGGGCAATCGATCAAGCATAGAGCAGCAACAAAATGTGTCAAAGCGCAGATGAGTTTGTTTGTTTAGTTGTTTCTTAATCGCGCTACAATTTCAATTCCATTAAATGGTTATTCAAACAGTCCAATAAATATGCGTGACTGATAATTGAGTTTTGTGTTTTGTATTTTACGGCAGCAACTCAAAAAACTAAATAGAAGCACCACAAGCTACTCTCTATAGAGCCTAATGAATGAGTCCCTTAACGACAAAGTCAATGGAATTCGAATTATTTAATGGCCGGCGAGTATCAGTATTGAAATTCCATTTCAATACAATTTGTTTAATATTTGATATGGCGATTCTGAACAGTTTTTGTTTTATTGTTTGCCCTTTTGGCCTGTAGCCCCATAGGCGTTGACGTAATGCCTGGAATGTACTTTTTTTTCGACTAAACTCAAATGTGACATGGAGCATGTAATCAGCCATTGCGTAACTTATCAGGTAAAGGCTAAAGAAAGTTCTTTCCACAGAAAACACAAAATAAAAATAAACTAGATTTCGTTTGTGACGTTATCGTCGATCGATGGTGAAATTTTAATAGAACGGACTATTTTAAGAAGCTGCCAAGCTAAATTTAAAACAATAATTGATCGTTCTATTGATTTTATTTTATTTCATAAAATCACTGCCGATAGTCTTACTTATCGTTATCGATACACGCTGCGAATGCTCGCGGTCTGTGTAGTCCAAATATCATGTGATTAGCAGTTGTTGAACCCAAAGCTTGACGTAACAAATAACGCAAATTCGCATGCGGCCGCACAAAACATACACAGATACAGATAAAGATACAGATACGGATACAGATGCGGATACAGATACAGGTACGGATACAAAAGTAGCAGCAGCAGCAGCAGTTGAGCTTAGATAACTAGCAGAACTATTAGATAACTGCAACCGGCATTTCTTTTTCTTGATTTCTTTCTTTTTTATAGGACACCGCGAAAGGTTTTGCACGGTAATTGAGAGATTAGAACGTGCGTATTATGAGATACGCATGCCGGCACACACAGATACAGATACAAACACAGTGGGCAGATGTGAAACTTTTGCAAAAAAAAAAAAAAAAAAAAAAAATGCCAAAAAAAAAAAAAAAAGCAAAAACAAATTACTATAAATAAGTGAGTGAGAACTGCGCAACGCACATAGAATTCTTTTTAATATAAATTTCGCTTTCGACTACCTTGTCGGAAGATAGCTTAAAGAGAGAAGGAAAAAAAAAAGAAGATATAATCATCATTATTATAATTTTTTTTTTTTTTTTGCTTTAGGTTTATCTGGCGGAAAACTACAGCGAATAGCTGTTGATTTGGCTTTGGCGAGGACGAAATACAATTGCAAACAAAGTGCAATTAGTAATGAGATTAGGTTAATTAGACCAACTAACTGAGCGCGCGACTTCTATTAATCTTATTCTGCTGGAATTTCTCCGTTTTCCTGTTATTTTGCTGCGAAATCTAACCAAAATATACGAAATCAAATCTAGCTGCAATTAGCAGCTAGCTAATGGAATATCTGCCTTTGACAAATTTTTATTCTTTTTTTTTTTTCATATTATTATTATTTGTTCAAACGAAAAGGAAGTTTTTTTTTTTTTTTTTGTTATCAGTAATAGACAAAAAAAAAAAGCCATTGACTTCTCGCTGTTGTTGGCTAAATAACGGAATATAAATTTAAAACTCAACTAACTTTTTACCATTTTTTGGCTATTTTAATAATTTTTTCCGTTTCTATTTTATTTAAATTTCGAAATGATTTTATCGTTCGGCTGTCTGCCAAGTTCAAAGTATTTCAATTTGTTTCGAATGCCAACACTTTAACGGCATCGTTGGCTAATTTATATATATTAATTTATGAATACACCCAAAGTGCATGATTTAATCCCGGTCATTTTAAAAGTCTATTTAAACAAATTAAAGTCTTAGCATATTACTTAAGCGCAGGCCATAATGGAAAATGCAACAAACATTTATTCTTTGGGTTATTTTAAGCAACGTCAAATATATTTTGCAATTTTTTAGCAAAGTTTTTTACGTCAAAGTCTAACTTATGTAATGACAGTTTTTTTTTTTTTTTGTGGTGAACTAAAATTTACGCACCTTTTACGATTTTAGTTGTTTTTGGCTTTACTGATTTTTCTGTAGACGTTTTATGTTGTGTTTTTTAATCTCTATTTTTTACTTGGCTGCACTTTGGCACACTTTACAAAATTTGCTCAATTTTCTTGGAGCAACAATTCAACATTTTCTGGTTTGCACTCTTCGAAAAACTGCACTCGACTTTGATTTTTTATCAATTTTATTTATTTGTAATATTTTTGTGCACATTGACGATAATTTTTCTTTATTTTTATATTGAGAGACAATTTTACAATTTTATTTATTTATTTATTTTTATTTTTTTTTTTTGGAAAATGGGAAAATGTGTGAAAGTTGCGTGAGCAGCGACGTCAAAAATTTCAAATTTCGAAACTATTGAGCAGTGACCGGCTAGAATTGCTGTCAAAATGCTCTTTAGATAATATTTAGCTGTTATTTTGCACAATTCCTATTTATTCATTTGATTTCGGTATTTCCTTTTACTTTAGTTTTCACGAGGTTTCGTTGGGGGGAATTGGGTGAAAACTATTTGAATTCAAACCGGAGAAACAATTTCAAAAAACACGATCGACGCGACGCAATGCGATGCTACGACAAACGTCCAAAAGAAAAACTGTTCGATTTCGAAAAAATGAAAATGCTGCCGACGGCGCAATCAGCGGACCCTCCGCTCAGCGTGTGTTGTCAAATCGAATGCCAGCGAGTGACTAAAGCGAAAATTTCATTCAAACATACCACTCGGCTTGCTCGGCTGGCCTCAGTCTCCGTCGCGTGGCTTCGTGTGCGCTCGGGTCGGGCAGTCGTGAGTCTTTTTCAATGGATGATGGGTGCCACAGGGCGTTAGAATAGTGCAATATCTAACTTACTCCACGAAATATCATATTTACATATATCTGTAATCATATTTAACTGGTATCAGGAGTGGTTACCCTTTGCCGGGTAAACAGTCTATAAGAACTGCAGTAAATTCTTATATATTACGGCACTTCCTTGAAAACAACTAAGCTGAATTCTTTGAATTTACAATTCGTTTTTTTGTTTTTTTAAGAAATAAAAAAGTTTATTAATGCTAAATATGGTTGTCAAGCGGTTGCTGATAAAGATCTTTTTTTAAATAATTTTAAAATATATATATTTGTACGCATGAAAAATTGCTCAGGGTATTAAAATTTATATCTTATGTTTTGCAGATTTGATTAAATATAAATCATATTTTAGGAGTCTTGAACATATATAGTATATGTATGTATATATTTGTGCTTAATTTACAGCATAATACAAAAAGTAATTTAGTTTTATTTATTTATTTTTATTATTATTATTTTTTTTTTTTTTATTTTTTTTTTTTTTTTTTTTGCAAATAGTATTAAATTATGACTGAATACACCTATGCAGGTTTTTGCTCAGTTCTCACAATTTACTGCATTTCCTAATTTCCACTAGCGATTCGCGCGCTTTTATGATTATAACGCTTGGGGCTGGCGTTTGTGCATTTTGGCGCGTAGACACTTATTCGTTGCTGTTTCACTTTTTTCCCTTTGTTGCCAATTTCACAAGTGCACAAACACCAATATACAATGCCCAAAGAGCAACTGGAAAAAAAACAACAAATGACGCACAAAGCGTCGGATTCAGAAAAGCTTACCAAATTTTATAAGCCAAATATGATAAGCCATAGAGATATTAAAGGTGTCAGTGCTTCCTCTACCCGTTTTGGAACGTTTATTGATATGAATAGTTATATATTCATCATTATCGTCATGATCATTTGATTTTCTTTAGTCTAGTTGAGCAACCGAATGCATCCGCTAGGAGTAGCGCATTGATCAAAATAGGAAATGCATCAAACATGTGTGAGTAGCCAAATCAACTGTTGTATATCTTATCTTTGAGCTTGAGGAAGCTTATAAAAATCACATGCTCCACAACGGGAAACGAGCTAACAATGTTTTTGGGGTATCTCCAAGTCTATCTACGTCATTATTTCCGATAAAAGCTATGCATAGATCTGGAGATAAGAGGCGTTATAGCGAATAAACCTATCTATTCCTTGTCAATATGGGAATTTATTGATGGGGATTCTTAAGTAAAAAATAAAAATATGAATGAACATGGAGTTTGACCAAAGACGAATTTCTATTAATACTAACAATATTCATATTAATACTATAAATAATTAATTAATAATAAAATTAAAATTTATGCATTCTTGTCAATTTTGAGTACACAACACTAAACTCGGTCTCTATCTCTCTCTCTCTCTCTTGACCTCACACAGTCTGTCTGTCTTTCTCTCTCTGTCTGTCTCTCTCTCTCTCTATCTATCTATCTATCTTTATCTATATATCTCTATCTCTCTCTAAATCTGTCTTTCTCTCGCCGTTTCTTTCTCTCTCTCTCTCACACACTATCTCTCTCTATCTCTCTCTCTCTCTTTCTATGTCTTTCGCTCCTCTCTCTCGTCACTCCCTTTTTTCTCATGTACCTGCTCCCTGATCCTTCTTGAAACTCTTTACCAATGACCATTTTACGCATATTAATGTCTTTAATGTTTCCACCTTATATTTAGTAAACACAAATTGCATTATTCAAAATACCAATGCAATCTTCTACTGAACATTAATTGTACGACAATTTGTGTAGTAAATTTAAAATACATTTTCCACTATAAATTCTTTGTCTAAGTAACTCGCTCAACTAGCAATTCTGCCAAAGGAAATTATCTCTTAAGTTCAGTTCCACTCTATGAGCATAGTTCCTTAAACACATTCCATTCTGTGGCCACGCTAAGTGCAGTGCGCAACCCCATTCTTGGGTCGGCTGACAACCAGAAACCACATTTGTAACATTTGTGCCCAACATTTTAGTGGATGGCAGCGCATGCCAAATGTCAAGACCCGAAGCCAGACCCAGACCCAGACCCAGAACCTGAACCTAAACCAGCCCCAGCATTGACCTATAAATAACTAAAGACAAAATACGCTCCCCCGCAGTTTTTGGGCACAATTCTTTCCAAATGCTTTGTCCTTGACTTTGCCCTGGCCCTGCCCTGGCACACTCGAACAATTAAAATGATTAATTAAGGCGTCGAACAGCAGGACATTTTAGAGCTAATGACTTAATTAAGGCTCTAGCGCTTGTTGAGTGTTTCGGCCTAATGTGCTCGCCTCAACAGCCGCCGACCTTTGACCCTTTTTCCGTGTAATTGCTTGGCCTGAGATGTTGGTTTAATTAAAGCATACCCAGCTAGCAAGTGCCACGGCACCAAGACGATCCTGACCGGGATCCTGCTGTTGCTTCTGCTGCTTCCTGCTGGTGCTGCTGCTCCTGAGGTGTTCCCGCATCTAAATGAGCTGCTGCTTTTGTCGCGCAGCTGCTACGATACGCTGAGCTGACACATTATTAAACGCATCGCCGGCTGATCCTGACAAACGTGACTGCCCATTTTACACCTTGTTGTTGTTGTTGTCGTTGTTGTTGTTGTTGCTGTTGTGTAGCGGACGCACGCGTTTCCTGCGCGTTTTTAAACGCTCGCTCAAGGCTGCGCGTATTTCCTGCTTGTAAGCTGTCGATCTGCTGTCGTCCAGTTGCCCCGATTGCAATCTCGGCATCGTTTCGATTGGCCCAGATTAAATTACAAAACATATTGTCATGTACATTGTCACGATATGATAGTCGTTATGTCTACCATAAAGTAGCTGCTGATATGTACCCTATGCCAAAGACTGGGCGTAGTTATCAGACGCAGCAGTCTCTCAACACATACATATAAATATTCGAGCACAGATTATTCTCAACGTGGGATCGTCGTATATTTATATTATTCTCAATGTCAATTTTCAATATTAATGGAATATGTGTATTTTATATTTATATCTATATCTGACTATATCAGCCATCCAACATTATAGGGCAACTTCCACTCTTGCATTATTTGTCCATTGCCGCTCTTTGTCGCCAGTTCAATCTAATGCGCATTGCCAGCAATTAACTGATTGAGCTAAACAATTTCGCCACAATGCATTAGCGTACATTAGCTTTACAGCATCGGCCAGTTTATAGGCAATAGATAATTGATGTCAATAGAATTGTAAACGTCGTCTATCAGCGCATGGCGACACGGACAGCCAACATTTAGCCCGCAGACAGACGGACCTCCAATCAAATCGAATCAATTACAGCTTGTACGGCTAATGTAATATCGAATGCTGCCTTTTGTTTATTTGAGCCAACTGACTGACTGATTAATATGAACAACTCTGAAGATAAATAACTGTTTCAATGCAAAACAAATTCTTAACCCGTTGATTGTAATTCGCATGCGGCGAAAAACTCAGCTGGAGCACTTTTTTTAATGATATTATATGATATTATTATATATATATATATAATATATTTTATGATATATATAATATATATAATGATATATATTATTATTATTTTTATTATTATTACCATTATTATTATAATTATTATTATTGTTATAAATATTAAAGTTTAATTTATATAATCATTCTATTTTTTACATATATATTTTTCCATATTTTTATATTATTCCATTTCATTTTAATAAAACATGTTTCATCTGACTTGGTTGGGCTATAATCATATCATTCTTAAAATTCTGTATTTAAAATATCTTATTAATATGAACCTTTAATATTTACCTTATATCGGTTGTCCTAATATTAAAAAAAATATATATATATATATTACTTAGGCGATTCGTCTGTTAATCATATAAAAACGTCTAAATTAAAGTGTTTACAATTATTATTATATATATATATATATATATAGTAGTATATATATATATATATATAGTATACACATTTATATATCGCTATAAAATACTAATAGCTAACAGTTCTATGATTATGTACATTCGAATAATTTTTCCACAGAGCTACGTCAAGCTCTAGCGTTTTTCAAGTTGACATAGATTCATTGAATTTCCGGCACATTTAAAAAACAAATTCTTGAACGCTATCCAAACAAAAATTGAGTTTTTCTAGCTATACGAAAAAGTTTCGAAAATCAAAGTCAAGTATATATTTCCTAGAGACCAGCTCAAGGCTAGTGCATCGACGGCATTTGTGGTATAAATATGCAAATATCTCCGGACTCGCGTCTCGGATCTGTCGACGCAGTTGGTCGCCAGTTGGTCGCCGGTTGGAGTGGCCCCTGGCTGGGTGATCGATCATGCTGGAAGTGATTGCAACAGTTGCTAATCATAATAATAATTGATTTGTAAATATTTTGATTCAGATTGCAATGTTAATTAAAGTGCAACCGTAATGAAAGAATAATATTTATTGAAGCAAACTCAAGGTGCACAAATCACATGCCCCGATCCATAAATCAAATTGTTTTGCCTGTTGACAACGGAAACAATATCTTTCGGAAAACTCAAATGCAGCGTATAGCACTTTCGATATTTGTCAGACAACATTTTATATAGCAAGTGACAAGTTTTAGGTTTGCTTTTATATCTATCTCAAAATTTTACATTGAAATGTTGCTGAGCCATGAGCTACTTGGCCAGCAGTTGCGACAGCTCTATATTAGGGAATGGCAGTAAGTGCTACTCCGTCTTATGGCATCTATATACGTATAGCCAGCTACCAATCCACAGCTCAGTCTCTGCCATTCTACAGAGCCGTCGCCATTGCTGGCAAAGTGTGGGCCGACGGGGGGCACGCTATCCAGGCGGCGAGGAGGCACGGCTCGTGCACTTGGAGCAATTGCAACTCCAGTCGGACTTGCCGTACGGCCCAAATAGCACTGAGGACTCTACCTTAGTTGTGCCCCTCTACCATATGTGGATGCGTCTCCACTCCATTGAGCCCAACTCAACGGTCAGCAATCCGCTGTATAGTATTTATCGCCTTCGACTGGAACAGCAGTCTCTGCAGCAGAACCTGTGCCGGGTCGTCTCAATATTGTGGAACAGATGTTTTCTGAAGTTTTGTAGAGGACCTCAATTCGTGGACGCAATAACTCAAACGGGGAACCCCCAACTAACTACAGCCATAAAGAAGCGGAATTGGTTGCAAAATTTGGTCTTTGGATTTCTATCGGTAGGAATTAAAAAATGATCTTTCACTGCAGCCTACTCTGTGTAGAGTTGAAGTATTATTAGTTTTACAATATTTTTACTGTCGACAGTTTTCGCATTTAAACATATTTTTAATACATAATATAATATAGTATAAAATTAAATAATATAATATTATATAATTTAATATAATATTATTTTCATAGATAAAATGGATACAAAGGAAAAAATCAACATTTATCGATCAATTTTAAGTGATCGATAGGCATAATTCAGCATAAACAGTTTGAACATCTGAATAAATCTTTATTCACTTCATTCTACAAATAGTAATAGACTAGACATTTAGCAAAGACTATAGAATTACTATGAGTGTACATTTTATAAGATTCTCATCTATAAGAATAGTTATTATAAAAAGTTCTATTAAATTAGTATGATCCCATTATAATTATTTACAACACATATTTTCTCCCCTATCAAAGATAACCGAAAAACTGGAACAAGCACTTATTCCTGTGAATCCAAATCTTAGATATGAGTACCAATCGGCTGCTATGGACATGATCAATTTGAGGGATATAAACACGCGTCTGAATTATGCTCTCGTCGATTATATTGTAAATAACGATGAACAACTGAAGGACATATTCCAAACTGGAGACAACGCAGTCGTATCAAAGAATAAATAACATAATTTCATTGTACTTGAAGTGTTGTGGAATGGCTGCAGCTGCAACGGGTTTTTAGCCAGACTAATTCTAGTTTAGTGGACTTTTCACGCCCATGGGCGTTTGTCAGTCCATAAACTGAGCATAAAATAGTCTGTTTGGCTAAAATCAAGATTCGACTAGCCAAGCTAAGAAAAAAGTTGGCAATTGATCGATGGAATTGCCGCCCGAAAGTGGTTTGGCCAGTCGGCGAGGCTCGATTGGTCGGGCTCCTCCATTGCTATTTACGATAGCATTAAATCTATATTTCTATGTTCGCCAACAGGTGCCATACATAGCCTTTGACTAGCTGGACAGTGGACGATGCTTGACCCATTTCGCTAAGCAGCCTGCGAGGTGATTCATTTGATGGGGCAACTGGCGCCTGTCGCCAGCTCCTCTCAGCCGCAATGAATGTCATCATCATGGAAACTTATGCGTTCGACACATGCAAACCGAATGCTGCATTCCAACCCATTGAGGGTGCTTCCCACACGACGACGACAGCTAAATGAATCTCATTTAATTTGCCAAAATATTTATGCATGCCGCATTGGCATTGATTTCATTGGCTTTGGGCTAACAATTTCACCAGTGTCGATGGCACGCCCAAAATGTGCCAGCCCCTAATTTATGAGCGTTATGAATCAAAGAAATCTGTCACACAACTTTATGACACTTTTTTCAGAGAGTATTTTATTCGTTTCTTTTTCTGTCTGTTATTTTTTTCCCCCAAACTTGTTGCTGGCTGACATTTTAATTTGGCAGCCATCGATGGCAATTTAATAAATTAAGCGCTTGATTCTTAATGGGATCGCAGAGTCTGGCCAGTGGTGAGCAATTTATGGGCAGCAAGTGAAGGGCACCTTCATACGAAATGGGAGCCTTGAACCTCGAATTTGGACAAGAAAAAGATGAAGGGATTTACTGTATAGAGTAAAGAGAGTATTAAAAAGTCATTAATTTAATTGAAATAAATATAAAAAAAAATAAATAAAAATATAAGCTTAGGCTCTATTTCATTAAATTCAATTCAAATTCAAATGCTGTATTTTTTTTTTTTTTTAAGACTATTTAAATGATTTATACATTTTTAACTAATTTTTGATATATTCTATTCATGTGTAAAAATTGGCAAAGCTATTTTTTTATATAAACTATTTTGTGGTACATAAATTTGTCTGCTGCTCGCATATTTAAGGAATTTTTCAAATATTTCTAGTTCTGCCAAGTAAATATATTTCTCGCAGTTCATTTGGTTAATCACTTTTTTTTCAAAATATTTCAAATATGTAAAGTATTCATAAAGGTAAAGTTCTTAAATTTCTCTTCTACAAACAAATGCCTAAGCTCCAACTTTCATCTTATCTATGGTAGCTCCTTGTCTTGTTACCGTTTCCCATGGTACGGACAGACACCTGTCTGGTATTGGTTGGGGCATCCGAGAGAAAGAGAAAGAGTCTTGAAGCTTTAATGTGAGCAATTTTTATTGTAGCTGCAACGAAATCGATATCAATATCGCGGCTATTAACCAAATCAGTGGAACGGCTATCGCGCGATAGACAACAATTTATGGAACTTGCCAGCAATAACAATTAATAAAATTAGAAGAAAAATATAAAATAAAAAAAAAATACAAGCCTATACTCAGCGCCGGCAGCTCTGGTGGCCAATGGAGCATTTGTGGAGCTCAGATTACGGCGCTATCAAAACTTAATCAAATGTGAGAGACGATAGACAAGACAAAAGAGATGCATTGAGCATTGAGGAGAACTTCTCCGAGTTCTGTCTTCCTCTTCTACCACTATCTACCACTTGGGATGCTATCTTAAAGAGCTGCAAACCGGCCGCTGCTGAACCCGTTAAAACAAGCAGCCTGAATGGCTATGCGGAGTCTGCTTAGAGTCTGGAGTCTAGACTATAATCCTTTGGAGATCTTGTTGTGCGATAAACTTGGCTTTGCGTCTGATTAGTGTGGCCTAATGTGACAGCCAAGCGACGTTCCTAACTGTAGTTACTATGCCCTCTCCGTCTCGCTCTCGCCCTCTCTGTCTATCTCCTTATGACTATGTCTCTCGCTCTTTTTGAGTGATGTAATTGGAGCGGCATCCAAGCATTGTTGACCAGCCCGGGCCTTCTTGCCTTGCAACATAAATCAAGGTGCAACAACATGTTAGATGCCGACGCGGGGCAACTTGTTGAACAGGCCAAAAGGAAAAACCGGCTGCTGCCGCTGCCGCTGCCGATGCGGTTGCCGTCGCCGTTGTGGTTGCCAGCGCCCCCAACAGCAACCAAACATTTGTTGTCCTTAGGTAATGCGACAGTTGGCACCCTTTCCATACCCTATTTTGCTATGAAAATATAGTTGGGATGGGTAGCATAAAATTGTGGATACTTATGAAATCAACTGAAGAAATATTTCGGTTTGTTTAATTGAAAACGAATCACAACCGATTTGTGCTGGGTTTGTTTTAAATTTTTCCTTTTTATACCCTGAACCCATTGAAAATGGGAAATCAGGGTATAATGGTTTTGTTAAAAGTATGTAACAGACAGAAGGAGGCGTGGCAGACCCCACAAAGTATATATATTCTTGATCAGGGCGACGAGCTAAGTCGATTTGGCCCTGTCCGTCTGTCTGTCCGTCCGTCCGTCCGTCCGTCCGTCCGTCCGTCCGTCTGTCCGTATGTATGAACGCGTCGATTTCAGAAGATATAAGAGCTAGAGACTTGGAATTTTTTTTCCTAGGTCCGTGTATATCACGCGCATATCAAGTTTTTCTTTTTATATCGATAACTGCTCCCGATAATTTATTATCGATCAAAAACCTTATCGAAAGCTAGTTATTTAATTATACCTCCTACACCTTTAGAGCTAGAGCTTCCAAATTTTATATGTAGACTTATATGCATTTTATATAATTTCGATTTTTGTTGTAATTTACCCCCCACCCCTATATCCACCCCCTCACCATCACCTTTGTAAAAGGCGTATTTCAAGTACTAGAAACTTGTGCTTTGGAATGTACATATATTTGAATATTATGATTATGTTCTGAAAGTTTCATTAAGATTGTACGTCTAGAAATTAAAATATTCAACAAATAAATCCTTATAATGTTGCCCACACTGCAGCGCAGCCCAAGCGCAATCGCTGCTTACTGCGCAGTTAGCAGAGCGCGTTCTAATACGTAGATGTGTATGTACGTGTGCCGAAAAGAAGTGCAGAGTGATTAGAATATCAGATTAGAGGGTTCAGGGTATCTCCTAGTCGAGCAGTCTCGACTAGAGTCTTCTTACTTGTTTTACTTTAATATTTATAAGCATAAGCTTTGATTTAGATTAGTTCTGTGCTACAAATGTTTCAATTAAATTGAAGCTCATAAATAATAATAGTAAGATAAAATAATCAAATTAGTAAATATAATAAATAAACAAAGAAAAGAATTATAATAATAATGAATTGAATCAGATGTTTATATAAATTACCTATTTCCAAGAGCCTTCAAATTACATTGTAGATTTTTAGCATTTTGTTTTTTTTTTTTTTTTTTTTTGTAAGAGTGCAATAAATGTATATAAACTAAAAATATGTCAAGGAAAATACAAAATTTGTAAAACCTGAGTAAAGCTTTAAGCTATGAATGTCAATATATTATATAATATAAGCTCTCCTACAGTATATATGCCGCTTCTGGGCTATTTCAACAACTCTGTCTCTCTCTCTCTCCCTCTTAATTCTGAAGGTGGTTAAGTTCTTTGTGACTGTTTATAGGATATGTGCAAGTAGAGCAGACTCTCTCTCTCTCGTATACTCTACACAACTCGTTATGCGCTGTTCCTGCTCCTGCCACTACATTACATATGCCGTTAAGAATTTCGAGTGTGTGTGTGTGTGTCTGCATGTGTGTGACAGGGCAACGCCTTGTGTAAGTCCCGCGTGTGGTCCTCATTTAATTACAACTCAATGAGTTCGAGCGAACTCGCCCGACAGGTGGTGTCCGCGTAATTCCCCCCTCAAGTATACACACGCACACACACAGATATAGGTATGGCTATATACACACACACACACACACACAATCAAATGCGACTCCACTGAACACCTCATCAACAATGTCGAGGCACATGCATCAACTGCTGCCCAAATCACTTGACACAAAATGTGCTTTAACTGATTGAGCATTGACAATGAACTCCTCTTGTATATATACATATATGTTTTTTTCATTAAAGTGTTATCAGAAACGATCGACGAACAAGAAATGATCTGATCGGAAACGCAGTCAGTTCGTGAGAATACCCCAAACGTTGACATATCTCAATAATCTGTTCATAAAAATACAAACAAAAGGGGGAAGGCGCATAAATGTCAAAAATATAATCGGCTCATATATCAAAAAATGCATAATTTTACCGTTAGATGATGCATTAATCACCTCTATCTTCAGCTCAATATTAGCTAATAGCTTTATGTGGGTTAAATGTTTGAGTTGGAGTTGCCTCTTATGCAGCTGTTAAACGCCAAACTAATTAACTTTTGGTAACATGAAAAGTAGGCAAACAAAAATATATGCCGAATAAGATATACCCTAACTGCATGTAGATACGAGAGTTGCTATAGAGCAAAAGTTAGCTAGAGTTAAATAACTCTCTCTCTCTCTCTCTCTCTCTCTCTCTCTCTCTCTTGCTATCTCTAATCTGTGTTACATATTTGATGACTTAATTTTAAGGCTCTTAGTAAAGAGTATGAGATACATGTGTTTGCCCTGAAGGCTGGCGCTAAGTTTGAGGGCCAAGTTAAAACAAAATGTTTTCTGATTTACTTTTGGCTTGGCAATAAACGATGCGGCTGCAAGTCAAAAGCTAATTGAAACGACTTTATTACTACCAAAAATTGAACGTTTAAAAGTTGAAATATATTCGGACAAATATTCATATACCCACATTTATAACCGCAGGATACTTACAGCACAAACAGAGCCAGAGAGAGTGAGA